CAAAAAGGGGATTTTTTCGGTATAGGGACTAAAAAGGGGCTTTTTGCTATAGTAGAGGGACCAAAAAGGGTATTTAACCTAAAAAAAATATAAATAGTTTGATTATTCTTAATTTGTTGGGTCAATTAATCAAGAAAAGGGTAGTTTTAGGAGGAGAATTAAACATCCAAACCATCAAAGTCCACAAGTAGTCAAATGCAAAAGAAAAGGGCAAACCACATTTCAACGTATAGAGACATTAATTTAATACAGTCCCACACTATATAGTAAATAGGACCAACTGAAACAACAACACATGTACAAACTGCTCGTCTTATTTCTCATATCTATACATTCTTAGGTTATTCAACCAACTAAGTAGTAGTCAAGTCCGCTTAGTTGGCTGATGGTGGCTTATGACACGTCACATCAACAGTTCCTGTGTCCTCGTCAGCAGCAAATGGCATGTGCCCTCTCTTTGGTAGCGGCTTATGTTTTGGAACGGTTGCATACTCCTCCGTGGAAAGTGGTTTGTGTGTTAGTGCTGGCGGGTGGCATGTTGGCTTTTGATCATCAAGGGTTACAGAGTCCTTTTTAATAGAAAGCGGTTTGTAATTCGGTGGTTCTTCGTATTTTGGGGGCTTGCCATGAAAGGTTGCTTTGTCTTCTGCAGAAGGCAGGTTGTGTGGTGGCGGGAAGGGTGATGGCTTTGCATACTCTTGATCAGCAGAAAGTGGTTTGTAATTCAGTGGTCGCTTGTACCTTCGGGGCCCATGATATAAGGTTGATTCCTCATCTGCAGAAGGTGTCTTATGATTAGGAGGTTCAGCAGAGGATGGTGTGGTGAAGATCACCACTCCAAGGAGCAGCAAGGCTAGCAAGAATGTTTTGGTAGACATGGGCTCTTGGTGATGGTGCAAAACTAGAAGAACTGAGTGGTATTTTATAATGAATAATCACCGGTTATTGCATGACAATTGGCATTCTTTAAGTAGCAAGCTGCAGACCACCACTGTAAATGGTATGATAAGGCAGATGTATGGAACCCACTCAACAGACATTTTTAACAAAAGTGGCCATAAACCGCATCTAGGGAAGGTAATTGGAGAGGTATAATAGTTGAACATGTAAAAAATGTGGCCTCTTTTTTTAACTAAAACAATCACGATCAAAGCTAGACATTGCTTACCTAACAATCCTTTAAGGCAAGACTATAAACTCTCAAGTTTAAATTGTTAGTAGTGGTTGATTTTTACATTTATATTTTACGCAGAATCAAATATCATACTGTACTTTTCTTCCAATGTGAAATTAAGATATTATAGATGGTCTGCGGGTTACTTCCTACTTTGTTGATAGGCCTTCCAAGAACAATATGGTGTAAAGCATTATAAGGTAATTCTGTTGTTATTTGAAAATAATTTATGTTCTATGTGATTGGCAAGGGTGTAACTGAGCATATTGTTTATATAGATCTGTTTGAGGTAAAATGTTATCTATGCCTTGGAGTAACGCTTGTATTTGGAGTGATAAATTTATCTTTATTGATATTAAAAAGAAAACACATGTGATAGCAAGGGAGAAAGAAAGGTAATGGTCTCTGAGTATGCATGATCTAACTAGAACCTCAGAGGTCAAGTAAGAGATAAAGGTCCGAGAAGGTTCCCATTGTCAGTTTGGTTATTCTTCATTCTGTCTTCAACCTCTATAGAAATTTCCAGCGAAAATTCCTAACACGAAGAAAGATTTATTCTAATAGGTTAAGGTTGTCCGAGTTATGCAACAGAGGAGAGTGTCCTATGCAAGGCTCCTTGTAATGTAGTCCCATGTCTCAATGCCAAATCCCTCGTAAAGTCACAAATTCTTTGGGATGGATATTGCCGACTGTTAGTCATGATCTGACCAACAGAGGTTAGTCATGATCTGACCAACAGAGGTTAGTCATCTAACCAACAGAGGCTAGTCACGAATTCCAAGGGTGCTAGGGGTGGTTGTTTGTTAAACCGAACGGTTTGATTGTGTTGCTTTCTGGTTTTTTGGTTGCTAGATTCAGGGGTTTTGTTCATTTTTTTCAATTGCAATGGGAAACTGTCTACTTAAGGTAGCAATGGGTTGGGGTACCTTTTTACCCTTCTGAATAAAAATTATTTTTTGGTTGATAATCCCAGATTTTAGGATCAAAGGGTTTCAAGCTCCAAGATCGCTAACCACATCAACCTTTCCTTGCTACACAAAATTAACTTTAATCTCCGAGGAGGGGAAAAAGTTTAAGCAAAATTGTATATGATGTTTGAGTTAGGATCGAGTTGTGCCACATCTTACATTATTAATGAATATTTTTTTTTGAACAATTTACATTTTACCAAGGCATCAATTAGATTTAATGCACTATTTGTATAAATTATACATATTAAATTTTAGATTAATTGAATTTGTTTAATTATTACATAATAACATATAATTTTACACCTTTAAATACATATTAGAAAGTACAGTTTCTTCATTAGTAATTGTATGGTTACAAATATCATCAATTTCTTCATTCCTATGGTTATAGATATCATTATTAACTTGCCCTGTTTTACAACTAATATCAAGAACGTTAACGGTGGCTTTTATCCTTTTCTCACCTAATTAAGATTGCTTACCTTTGAGGAGATGAAAGCACCATATATAACATATATCTGCCATTCAAACAATTAGATACAATTTAATTGCTTAAAAAATTCATTTCTCCCTTCACCTCTCATCAAACCAAACATACCTTTAGTATGGGGTTACCCCTTCTAAGGGCTACTATGTTAACTTCCCTACCCAAGAGTAGATACTAATGGTATACATGTAACAATTACCGCTTTCAAAGGAAAGAAAAAATAATTTTTTTGGGAAAGTACTTAACAAATAAACATTATGGTCACAAAAAATAATACTATTATTTATTAATACCAGAGATTTTCTAAGAATCAACTATATGTTACTGAACACAAAATAGAAAGTTGTAGGCGAAAACTTAAAATGTGACTAATTTGGCAACGATCTAAATAATTCAGTGATAATCTCCTTTCGCTGAAAGTAAAAGGTTCTGAGTTCAAGTTGCATGACATGCGGATGGGATGGGA